GCAGCTTTTAGCTGCTTTAAAGAGTTTTGAATCTTCAATTGAAGAATATCTTCGATATCCTTTACCTTAACTTTCATCCGCTCTATAATGATTTGGCTGCACCAATCTCAGATTATTGTTGACTTCGTGCATTGCTTGATCCGATGCTCATTAGTATCAGATAAACCACATTTTTCACAATTAGTTGATGCAATATGGCCAATATTGTAAAGCTTGAGCTTTTCCTTATTTGGAACATGATCGTTTACAAAAACGAACAATTTCGCACGGTCTTGAAGAGGCAGAAAGTTAAAACTTAAGTTCTTTCATACGGTTACCCAATCAAATGGGATTTTGTTTTCTACTGCAAGCACATGATTATTCCTATCAATAAAGCTATGTTGTTTCAAGATTATAATTGCTCGTTATCAAGACTCCCTCCTCTATCCACTCCCCAGCATTTCTAGTAAGTTTTCCTCTTATTCGATCATTTATGCGGTAACTTTCTTCGAAATAATCCCCATTACTATCAAGGTTGTAAGAAATATTTCTCAAGAATAATGCCTTTGATTTAGCTTCTGTATCCACAAGGCAGAGTCCTCCTCTTAAATAATTCATGTACAATTGATTCCTGTTCAGTTTAAAAATAAAGCTGTTTCAAATAAACTGGCCTAGATGTCGATTTGAAGGCGGAATAATCTGTGCAACATTTTAATAACACAAAGACATTCAAAACTATACTACGCTCAAAAATATTCAATAGACATTGTGGATTTGTAGAATTGCTTTAATACTTGAAACCAACCTCCCATAAAGCCAAAGATAGTACCAGAGCTGAGCCAAAAAGTTGAGCACGATTCTTTGGGACCTTCTGGTATTAGAGTTACCTCTATGGTTTAACCAACAATCAATACGAAACTAACGATTTTAAATTGGCTCACTACTTGACTAGGCTATTGGTCCCAAGCAAATCGTTTAACGTACCCCATTCTAGTATAAATTCCAGTACTACACTATGTTTGTTTTGATTCGCTATGAAAATTCGACAGATAAAATAAGGTTCGTGGATTTTCGAATGGTGCATCGATTACCTTGGGACCGATGATAGTACCAGAGCTGAGCCAAAAAATTGAGCTCGTTTCTTCGGGACTTTCTGGTCTTAAAGTTACCTCTATGGTTTAACCAAAGATGAATACTAAGATGAAACTGTCGGAAGAAAAACTTTCTATTTTAGTGTCCTCTTTCACGGTCCCTTTCATCCAATGAATACCCCCCGTATTGAAGGTAATTTAGTGGTTTTACTGCCCCCTCGGAAGAGATGAAATTTTGTGCTCATTTTTATCAAAACAATCACACCAAAATCAGAGATGTCCCATTATTTAATTAGTCGATTAACAACTACAGGGTGCGTGATGAATTTTTGCAGTAAATGGCATATTTGAGAAAAAATACACCAGTTAGTTATTCTAGCAATGAATTTGGTGCGATTTATTTTCTTTCGCAACATATGGAAGTTGTAAGTAAATTTATTCATAAAAATTGCCTTCCCTTTCGACGACTGTAGTAAGACGCTTCCGGAAACTGCAGTATGCACGTTTTAAAATGTTTCTATCCATAGATGTCATCACTGCCTTGATTTTAGCTTTTAGCGACTTATGTGTGGTGTGAGGGGTTCTATTGGTATCCCGTTGGACGACGCCCTATAAAAAATAATCCAACGGATTGATATCGGGACAGCTTGGGGGCCAAATTTCTTCCTCCCAAATTTACGAAATATTTTCCGTAAGCCATTTCTGTGCTTTATTAGCAGTATGAGCAGGTGCTCCGTCTTATCACTTTCCCAAGCCTTTTTTAATATTATACACTGTTCTTTCAGACACATTTACAGACCGAATTATTTCTTTCATGCATACTCCGGCGCGCAACAAAGCGACAACGGCTGACAGATTGCTCTCTTGTTTTGACATCTTTACGTTTACTCAACATTGTTTGTTTAAATCTTACACCTAACAGTATAAGCTATCCAGTGCTGCCAAATATATCTAAATCATGATGCACAAGCATGAGAAATTACTATTTGAAATTTACTGCAAAAATTCGTCACGCACCCTGTAATTGATTATTTTTTGTTCGCTGTGCTGCCATTTTTCCACCAATGAGAGTGCAGCACATGTTTGAAACGATCGGTGATGATCCTGTGGAGATATTAATGCTTATATCGGCATGATCTAACCGATTACAAATAGTTTACTTTTCGGTTCGTTAATCGATTAAACGATTATTCGAATGAAAATCGGCCATCACTAGACGAATGTGATATCGCAGCTCGGAATATCAAGCTAACAAAACTCACCAACTGCAAATCAAACTGTGGTGAGATTGAGTTTAATGATTTTTGCTTTACACCCGAATGCAACCGAAACTTCCATAACGGCTTACAGCAGTCCCTTCGCGTCTGCCATCGGTGAAGATTAAAAAGAGATAGCGAACTATGCTTTCTCTTTCTAAGAAAACGATGTGCAATGGAATCATTTTTGTGTCGAGTCAACTCTCAGCTTGATTTTTGCACGTTGTGAATAGTCTCGCAATATCAAAGGAGCTTGTAAAATCAATATCAAGCATGACATTTTGTTCCAATATCCAATATCATGCGAGCGCATGAGAGCGGAAAAATATCAATTGATATCTGATTTTGCCAACACTGATTGCTAGCAATGAATTTTCAATGTGAATCATAAAAATAATCCTTGAGGCCACCGAGTTCCTGTCTAATCTAGATCTAATAAAACTAATCTACACTTCCTCGTTCGACATAAGCGACGTAAGTCAGAAAAAAATTAATATCCAAATTTATTTGGGTCTACTGCTCTTAGCTGAGGCTGTTAGATTTCAGTTCATTCAACACACTGAAACGCACCCAGTAGACCTCCCAGTGCGGTTTCCAATTCGTATGCCCCAGGTGCACCATAATAAAACTTCCGATAACGAAAGTCTCTACAAGCATCCATCATCATCGTCGTCATCGTCGTCGTCGTCGTCGTCGCCGCGGTTTGAGAATGAAAATCTACACGACGCACATCGGCACAGCTGCGGGCAAATAGTGGCAAAGTTTGTGTGTATAAATAACAAAGTGTTTCTGACTTTCTCAGGAGCAGCGTTGCCAGATATACCGATTTATCGGTATCCGTACCGATTTTTGAACTTGATACCGATACACAGATAAGTTTCATCAAAAAAACCCAAAATATTGTGTGTTTCCATTTTTTCTTTGTTTTGGCTATCTAGGAATCGAGAAACAGCTGATGGCTCATTTCGGTAATTCTTGGGAATCGGGAAATATTTTTATCTTTTATGTGACCAAAAATGTCCATCAGAAGTTTCCTCTAACTCTCCACTGGAATTTTTATACACCTTACCCGTAAGTTATTTTCCGGTTTCTCCCGAAAAGTTATTTCGACTTCCCTCGGAAGCTTCTTCTGGCTTCGCTTGAAAGGTCCATTCGTCTTCTCACGCCACTTTTTTCCAACTTCCCCGGAAAATTGCGCCAAATTACCCTAGAAGCTTCAATCAATTTCTACCGGAAATTTATTTCAACATCGCCCTGAAATCTCTTTATTCCTGATTTTGTTTTGCAACTTCTCCTAGAAGTTTCTTTAAACTGTCCTGAAATTCCTCTAGCTTCCGCCAGAAGAAGCTTTCGACTTGCTTCCAAAACTATATCATGAAGTTTCTTCCAGTGTCTCCAGGAACTTTATTCTGTCTTCTCCAAGAAGTTCATTAAAACTTCTACCGGAATTATCTATCAAATTCTCCCAGAAGTTTCTTTCGTCTTCTTCTGGAAGTTTCTCCATGAGCTTCTTCCAGAGCTTTTATCCGACTTCTATTGAATGGTTTCCCCTTGATTCTTCTAGCATTCTCTGGAAACGGCCTGACATTTTAATCCGATTTCCGAAACCTTTTTGGCTTCCCTTGGATGTGTCATGCGTTTTTCTTTTCTGGAAGTTTCTTTAAATTTTCCCCAGAAGCTTCTCAACATTTTTCTTGGAAGCTCTCCGAATGTTTTTCGACTATTCTAGGAACTTTTTTTTTTTAATCCGCCAGAAGAGCTTGTTTTTTCTTGCCCTAGAAGTTTTTTTTCCGCTTCAAAGCTCAAGAAATTAGTCGAAAAGTCAATAGTATAAAATAAATTAAAATTAGTATACCGATTTTTTAAAACCTTTAATACCGATAAGATTGAAAACAATCTGGCAACGCTGCTCTGGAGGCTGTCTGGTTTCCGGAGAACTAAAATTGGTGGCGTTCAAACCTGTACCCCGCCGTAGGTGGTGGATGAAAATTATGTATCTAGTTTGGGAGATCCATGTCGCGCAGGTGAGTTGCCCGGTAAGGTGGTTTGTTTTCGTCTTGATTCGCACAGTATGAATATGGATGCCGAAACTGGACTAATTGAGAATTCAGTAAATTTATGGCTTCCGCAGGATAGGAAAACAAAAGTAGACGTTGTTATTATTATTAGTGATTTTCGGGGCGTTTTGCGGCAATTAAAGGTTATCTAGGGGCTCAGCTTTGAGCATGAAGCAGAACAGGTCGGTGACTGTAAATTCTACGTATCTTGACGAATTTCGTCGGTGGTTAAATGCGTGTTAAAAGCTACGCGGATTGCTGTTACCTATGCCTCAACCAAGCTTTTAATTGAGTGCAAAAGCATGGTAATGTGAAATTACAATTCAAGATCGTTTGTTAGATTTTGAGCGCACGTTTACGTTAATGAATCTTTCTCTAGTTCTACTGTGTGACATCCAAACATTCATAAGCGGTAAATCTGGAAGTCATCCATGCGGTTCTCCGCTCCAAATTTCTCTTGTAGACGGTTCAATTTGTAACGCAGCCGTCTGAGTGCAATGAACCAATTTACGTGATTAGTTACTGTCAGTACACACGGTGCTAACTGAATGCTCTTATTCGTCCTTTTTATAACCATAACCTAATTTCTCTTTATTTTTATTCTACATCCTTTGCAGTAAACCTACTACCACGCTTTGCCTCACGCAACCAAAACGACTCGATAGCGATTCAAGTCAGCCGGCGCTACACCCATCAGATCATCTCGCGGATTTACAGCATCTTTCTGCGGGAGATTCTCGGCTACCGAAACGTGAAACTGGTGGGTCTATACGAACGTCCACACGACATCGAACGGGAACGGTTGTTTGTCACGCTGGAGAATCTTGTGTCGTGAGTATAGTGCCACATATATGCCTACATACATTCCTATATCTATTCCTATAAAATGCTTTCTACCAGCTGTCGTCATTGTGCAGTCAAAGCATGTTGTTAGCACAAATCAAGCCATGACTCACGACTTTGTCAGGCTTACTCGCTTGTGGAACGAGGTTTGTTTTTTTTTTATTCCGTGTTGAATATATTCAGCGCTGTGACCATTACTTTGATATATTGTAATATGTTACCCGTTTTAATATTGCTTTATCAATATGTCGTATCACTATTACGTTTATTTTTATAATTATTATTACTATTATTTTTTTACGTGATGCTTCTCTCATTTCAAATGGTCAAATATTCACACTTAGAAATAACTAATTTTACACGTGACGAAATCCGTCTTCGACATAAAAGATGAGACGTTTACAAACACGTCATGTAATATTAAGTGCTCCGAGACTGAAAATTTCGTTGCTCAACGTAAAGTACGTCTGATTAAGCTATATTTCACGTCTGTTATGAATCAAATTTATGTCGAAATTGACGCTCTTATATGTCACTCTCAGAGGATCTAAATTTACATGAACTTTTCTAAGTGTGTAATTTGAGCTATAATTGTGTATTCGAAATTTTTCATCTAATCATAACTCAAAAACCTTACTACCAATCGAAATGACGCATGAGACAATATTGTGGGAAAAAATATTTCCTTTTCAGGAAAAAATATACACAGTAAGAAATTTTACACAAAAAACGATTAATCTTCGTTTATGTTCCCGATTTTCAAGAAAATGGACAAGCGAAATGTGGAGAATTACCGAGGAACTACTTCACTTTGTGCCTGCTCAAACGTATTCGAGATAATCATCAACTACGCTTTATTTGCCAGCTGTAGAAACTACATTTCTTCTGACCAAAACGGTTTCCACCCCAAACGTTCGGTCCCAGCAAACCTCGTTCATTTCTGATGTGTTCTAATTTAGAGTGCAAACGATAAATGTCATTCAACTGATGTGTTCTGATTTGTCAAATGTCGTTAAACGAAAACACCATAAAATGTTACGCATGACAGTTCCACCAGGTCGACAAGGTCTGATCGTATGCCAAACAAAGAGGATGATCATTCCAGTCTGAAACATCGTACGAAGAAGTGCCGTAAAGTCCCGGTTTTCTCTCAGGGTATAGGATAACCACAGACAAACAAAGATAACACTCACAATCACATTCTTCGCAAATAAGGTTTTAGTTGGGAATGTGCTCGCAAGTGTCATGGTGGCGCCACTGAAGCATTAAGCAAGTCACTACATTTCGAACTTATCAGTTATGCCAGTTCTTTTTCAGGTCAAATTAGTAGATGTCAGCTCTTGAGAATGATAAGGGGACCAACACATCCCAGTGAAGACATATACAGTAATGATCCGATTTTGTCAGGCCTCATTTTGCAAATCTTTTCTAATGTTCTACGAAACTCATGCGCTTTCTTCAGTGGTCTTATTGCACCAAAGTATACCTGAAACACACATCTTGAAGATGCAATTATCTTTTTGGAATTACGATATTATGAAATTATTTAATGATAAAAGTCCGATGCCACATACTAATCTGACGAATACAGTAAAAAAAGTTGTTGAATACTACAGCCATAAAGTTGGTTGGTCATTCCGTTTGATGTGTAATATTACGCTATATGATGAACACAGAATTTGTGACCAAATCATTTTAATGAGTGTAACATTGTATCCACATGTTAGACGGTGCTAGCAACAATCAATACGAAACTAACGATTTTAAATTGGCTCACTACTTGACTAGCCTATTGGTCCCAAGCAAACGACTAACGTACCCCATTCTAGTCGAAATTCTAGTACTACTACTATGTTTGTTTTGATTCGCTATGAAAGTTTGACAGATAAAATGAGGGGTTCGTGGATTTTCCTATGTTTCGAGGGGTGATTCGATTAGCTTGGGACCGAAGAGAGTACCAGAGCTGAGCCAAAAAGTTGAGCACGTTATTTCAGAACCTTCTAGTCTTAGAGTTACCTCTATGGTGCTAGTGTGCATGCAAAATACGCTTGACGACATTTTTTGAGGAATTTTCTTCTAAGAGTTATCTCTGTTTGTCTGTGGGATAACTTTCATTTCCCTATGTCTATGGAATATGGAGGCAGGAGCACAGGTGGACGTCGTACGAGTAAGAGAGGTGACACAGTCGGAAGAAGTGTTAGTTTATTTATTTATTGTGTTATGGCAAGTTTGCTATAAGAAATGCTCCTCGTGTTTATTAGCGAAATTCACATCAAAGATTGATTAATTGCGTAGGAAATCAGTTTGTCACGGCATTTGTACCAGCATACACCTTCCGGTCGTATTTCCTTTGGTTTGTTTTTTCCGTCGATCTTGTTTTCCGTGCTGAGCACCAATGCTACCGACGTGCCAGGAAGGCAGCTCCCACACCTGGACCCTACCTATCGACCCATCAACTCATGAACCGGGGACCAACGGCTTTACTTCCCATCCGAAGGAAGGCGTGATCAGAGATGTTATGCCGACTGGTATTGAACCCAGGCCTGCTGGGGTGAGAGGTAATCGCGCTTACCACTACAGCACCGGCGCCGTTAACTTCCGGTCGTATGAAACAGGTCAAAAACTGTCCTAAATCTCAGATAAAAATTTTTGTTTTGAATTCCTGTATGGCAAAATAGTGAACTTTTCGTGAACATTAACGGCAAAGAACTCACCAACACTGGGAGACCGTGAGTTCCTGCCCACCTGTCATCTCGCATCTCGGACGTCGTATACCTACACGGATATCAAGGCTGCTTTCGACCGGGTTGATCATGCCCCAGGCGAGTAAGAGAGGTGCCACAGTCGGAAGAAGTTTGTTTACTTAAATGAACCATGCCCATTTTATTATGGCAAGTTTGCTATAAGAAATGCTCCTCGTGTTTATTAGCGAAATTCACATCAAAGATTGATTAATTGAGTAGGAAATCAGTTTGGCACGGCATTTGTGACCAGCATACACCTTCCGATCGTACGAAACAGGTCAAAAACTGTCCAAATCCGCAAATAAAAATTTTTGTTTTGAATTTCTGTATGGCAAAATAGTGAACTTTTCGTGAACATTAATGGCAAAGAACTCACCAACACTGGGAGACCGTGAGTTCCTGCCCACCTGTCATTTCCCATCTTGGATCATGCCATTCTATTTGCCAAACTCGAGAAGCTCGGTGTCTCTCAAGGACTCACTCGTTGGTTTGCATCGTCTCTTACCAATCGAGAGCTTAAGCTTGCTTGCCAAGTCTAAAACACTGTTGCATACAAGCTTGAAAGAAAGTATAGAATCGTCAAAGTGATCCGATGGGTGGTGTAGTGAGGGATTCGTGAAACTAATAATATCTAAATTGAACGTTAAATGCGTAGACGACGATTGAGGAGAAAGAGTTACGTATGTTTGTCTATGGTTATAGGGCTAAATGGACCGAATGGACAATTTCTCTACTATAACCCAGGGTATCGTATTCGATCGATGCGCATTTTTGGTTGAATAAGTTAAGTGCCGTATGCGTGATAATGTTAGCACCATTACCCGAGCAAGGTCGGTTAACAAAATGAAAGCAAATTGACATTAAAGTATGCAGTTCCTATCATAATGAAAACTAATTTTTATTTCAATTGTCGCGACAGAAGTCTGATATCATATTGTGCTTTCATTATGCAGTCAAAACTTTTTAAATCAAAGCAACTTAGCTTGAAGTTCTGCTGTAGATTTCTTCTTTAAAATTTGATCTAAGTTCATCTGCCGTTGAGCTAACGATTATTGTTTATTTGTTTTGTTTAACACATTTTAGGTTATTCGTTACTAGCCCGAGGTGACATTTGAGCTCAAATCTTTCAGCGTGAGAAGCATGGATGCTAACCATTTACGACAGGCCCGGATTCAGTCAAACATTATGAATGCAAAATCAGTTATCAAATTGATTTAATTGAAAGCAGAATTAGTTTTCCGTTTGATTCAACAGTGTAAAATTTTGCTCTTATTTTTGCTGTGTTAACCGTTAAGTCAACCAAAATGAGATCAAATGGAGTATTCAAAATAAGTTACATCATAACAGAAAATTCTGATTACAATTTGATCTCTAACTTTGCTCGGGTAAGCAATGTTAAAATTTAAAAAATTCTCAAAAATTTCGTTTCAGAGTTTTTTTTTATTTATTCAAAGGGGGATGTTTCTCAGAGTCTTAAACTATGTTAATCGTCGATCGAGTTTCCACTTGCTGCAATTACGGCCTCCACACGTTTCCGGAATGCACGGCAGGTTCTAATAATGTAGTCTGGATCCATTTCTCTCCAGGTACGGGTCAATGTTTGTCTGAGGCTTGCTGTACTCGGGTGGCGTTTAGAACAGGCCATCATGACGCGCCATATTGAGTAATCCAGCGGATTAAGATCGGGGCTGGATCGCGGCCACATTTCCTTCGCCCAGAACGGAAGATGTTCCTACAACCACTTCTGAGTTCGGTTCGAGGTGTGGCACGGAGCCCCATCTAGTTGAAATACAACATTTGGCTTCGGACCGTACTGTTCTTTGATCCACGGAAAAACATACTTACTTAAAATCCCTATTTAGACCTCCGTGTTGACCTTGTCGCCTTCTGGAATGAACACCGGGTCCATTTTTTGCCATCGGAAGCCACCAATCCAAACACCATAACGCTAGCAGGATGCTTGGTCAGATACATGTTCTTGTGCTCGTCGGCCACGTCTTTTGCCTTTTCCGTGCCCTCGACTTCGCCCCGCAATCTTCCTTTACGATCTTCCGTGCCGTAAAGTCACTGATCCCGTGTTCCTTTGCCATTTTCCTTATAGAACGCACTGGATTCACCCTAATCTTCCTTTTGATAGCAGCGATAACCCTCGGAACCCGAGCTGACCTCGGACGACCTGTGGCCACCTTCGCGGATAGTTGTCCTTTCTTTTCTCGGTCTCAAACCCTTTTGACGGTTCACCGG